TGAGTGCCTTTCTTAAGCGAGTATGCATATTCCGGACCACTAAATTGGTCATCTCTTTCTCACTGATTACTGTAGGACATCGCCCCTTCATCAATCGCACCCTTTCTATAAATTGTGAAGCAGATTCTTCTGGATACTGTCTCAATTCTAGTAAATCAGTTAAAGACACACTTGGTAAAGGATTGAAGAATCTGGCATGAAATGCCATCTCCAGTCCTTCCCATGTCTGAATTTGTCCAGGAGGCAAACTTGCAAACCACGAAAACGCTGTTCTAGTAAGAGATAAACCAAACAGCTGCAACTTATAAAAAGGGTTATTGCCAACTTCTCCTAATTGTGCTGTGAACCGACCAACATGTTCTATAGTGGAAGATCCGTCCTCCCCTGAGAATGCATGAAAATCGGGTGGTCGATAATTCCTTGGGAGGGGGTGTTCATTAATGATCCTTTCTGGGAAAGGTCTCTGATATGCAGGGCGGTTAGCCATCTGAGGAGTTAGCCCAAACTGATCTCTTAATATATGTGCGATCTCATCAGGATCTACATGAACACGTTGATGATCAGGAACATGGATAGGATCCTGCACAGGAATATGAATAGGATCATGTATATATCCTCCAGGCCTGTCCTCCCTTGTATTGTTCGGCTGCGGACTGGAAACCCTTGGTCCCAGCGGAACAGTGTTGGGAAACGTCAGAGGAGATTTTCCCCTATCCGTTCGGTTGGGATTTGTGGCACTTGGAAACGCACTATCCACGAATGATGGCCCTGCGAAATTTGTCTGTAGTCTGGATGGTGATACTCCTGGTGGAGTTTGAGTGGGTTGAAGACTAACCCTTGACAGTGCTTGATCCAACATGTTCTGTATTAGATTTTGTTGTTCACGCAACATGTTCGTTTGTTGCTCACGCAACATATTCTGCATAACCAAAGTATGCTGGTTGTTCATTTGTTGAACATAGGACCACCAATCAGTTGGTGGTTGTGGGGTTTCCCCGGCATTGGGCACAATAGGTGGTGGAACGGATTCTCCCGCCGGTGCCGAAGATGATTGAGGTTGTGAACCTGCCATATGGACCCTTCCGATGATTCGGCCGGATCTAAGACGTATGAAATTATCGCCGGAATTGGAATGAGCAATTGTGTCTTGCTCCCACTGTGGTCACCAATTTGTTGATGTAATTTTTCAACAAAAATAAAGTAAAATTCAAAGATATAGAAAATATCCTTAAACTTGATTAATTAGTGCCTGAGATTAGGAATCTCTAAACACTGTATGTTACAGAAAATAAACTGGAAAATAAAAGACTGAAATTTAAAGTTGTGATCCCCAAATCTGACTTTGCTTTGTTGAAGTTGATTGAAGATACCTTGCCAAATGATGATCACAATCCTTAAATATTCTCTGGGAAACTGTACTGAAAACCGTCGCCCGAACGGTTACAACGTCTCCTTCCCAACCGTCTTCCAACCCTTCTCCTGCTGACACGTGTCCTCAGCAGACCAAAATTATCCCTATACTTCACTCTTTGGCCGACCACAGACCTTCCGCCCTTTTGGCCCGACTGCCAATCTACAACCGTATTGGTCCGACTGCCAATCCTCCCGACTTGCAAACCATCTGACTTGTTGGTCCCGCCGCAGAGTTCCGACCTGAGAACTTCCCGACCTGAGGGCCTCCCGACCCGCAGACTTCCCGTCCTGATGACTTTCCGTCTTGAGGACCTCCCGACCTGAAGACCTTCCGACTTGAGGTCTTTCCGTCCTGAGGACTTTCCGTCACCTCCCGACCTGAAGACCTTCCGACTTGAGGTCTTTCCGTCCTGAGGACTTTCCGTCTTGAGGGCCTCCCGACCTGAAGACCTTCCGACCTGAGGTCTTTCCGTCCTGAGGACTTTCCGTCTTGAGGACCTACCGACCTGAAGACCTTCCGACCTGAAGTCTTTCCGTCCTGAGGACTTTCCGTCTTGAGGGCCTCCCGACCTGAAGACCTTCCGACTTGAGGTCTTTCCGTCTTGAGGACTTTCCGTCTTGAGGACCTACCGACCTGAAGACCTTCCGACCTGAAGTCTTTCCGTCCTGTATTTTCCTTAGAAATATATCTATTTTCCTTGATTTCCTCACGGTGTCCTTCAGCCAGTTCAAACAACTCTATTGCCAAGCCCATTCTTCTTTTTACCTTGGACTTTTAACCTAATTCTAAATTTCGTACGTAACAATTATATATTTAACACACTATATACACATATAATATATATATATACAAATAGTGATTAAGAGTGGGATAATTAATATTCTCATTTGTTATTCCTATATTAATATTTATAACACATTATCAGCACGATCAGTCTTTCCGGCACGGTAGGTATATTTCAATATTATTATGGCTACTAATATTGCAAAACAGAAATTCGTCTCACTTATCATTTTTGGCAAAAATTATTTGTCATGGGCCATGGATATTTAAATGCATTTGGAATCGATGGGTCTGGGTGAAACTATTGTAAGAGGCAATAATGCCACCAATCAGAGCCGAGCAAAGGCAATGATATCCTCCGACATCATACCGATGAAGGGCTGAAAATGGAATATCTCACAGTCAAGAATCCTCTTGACTTGTGGAATAAACTAAAAGAAAGATACGATCACCTGAAGTTGATCGTACTGCCAAAAACCCGTAGCGAATGGCACAATTTGAGGTTGCAAGACTTCAAATCGGTCACTAAATATAATTCTGTCATGTTTAGGATCACATCGCAGTTGAACCCATGCAGCGAGAATATTAATTACAGTGACATGATGGAGAAAACATTCTCCACATTTTATGCCTCAAACCTGCTTTTACAACAACAGTATCGAGAGAGAGGCTTCAGAACATATTCAGATCTTATTGCTTGTCTTTCGTTGGTATAAAAAAACATCCAACTGTTGTTGAAAAATCATGCATCCAAGCCAACAAGTTACAGCCCATTCCCTTAAACGAAAGCGGTACAGTCTGCAAATCTAGGTCGTGGAAACAACAAAATCGGAGATATGGCAAAGGCCAAAAACGCGACCGTCCCCAACCTCGTCGAAATAACGGCAAGAAACTATACAAGCCCATGAAGTGGCAGAATGACGAGCATAAAAGAAATTATGAAGATAAGTGTCAAAGGTGCGGCACAAGTGGACACTGGTCGCGCGTCTGCAGAACGCTTAAGCATTTGGCTGATACCAGGCTTCGTTGAAAGGGAAAAGTACATCTGCTAACGTAAATCTCTTTGAGCAAAATAATGACGCATATGATGATGTTCTGAAGAACACATTAGCTGATGTAAACCTCGCTTAACAGAATAATGATGACACATATGATGATGTCCTAAACAGCGACCTTATGCATCTTGATACATCAGACTTCCTTAAGCACCCTGAAAGTGCCAAGTGACTATGTACTTAACTGCTTTATTAATTTTTGTACCCTCTCTCTACTCTTTGTAATACCTCTTTTTTTGTATCATTTTGTATTCCATCGGCTCTATTAATATATTGTCTTTTTGTTATTTTTATTCTGAAAAGAATATGAATGCCACGTGTGCCACGTGTCACAGTACATATTATAAAAGGGGACAATATTTGCCTAATCGATAGTGCGACCACGCACACGATATTGAAATACAAAAAGTATTTCTCCCACTTGAAGTTGGGAAAATAAAAAGTCAGCACAATAAGTGGCAGTGCGACAATTGAAGGATCCGGAAGGGCCCTTATATGTTTCCTTGGAGGAATCAGACTTGGAATACAAAATGCACTGTTCTCGAGTAAAGCTCAAAGAAATTTGTTGAGTTTCACTTATATCCGTAGAAACGGATATCATACTGAAACAATGGACGAGGCAAATAATGAATATTTGGTGATTACAAAAATCATCAATGGAAATAAATGTGCAGTTGCGAAATTGCTCTCATTGTCCTCTGGCTTTTATTATGCTAAAATAAGTACCGTTGAAACATATGCAGTAGACCTGAAGTCTACGCAATCAAATGAATTTTCGATTTGGCACGTTCGGCTCGGGCATCCTAGAAATACCATAATGAGGCGAATAATTGAAAACTCCATTGGCCATTCATTGAAAGATCGAAAGATCTTGAATTCGAATGAATTCGCGTGTGCTACATGCTCACAAGGCAAATTGATAATTAGGCCATCACCAACCAAAGTTGGGATTGAATCTCCATCGTTTCTAGAAAGAATTCAGGGTGATATATGTGGACCTGTAGATCCACCATGTGGGTCATTTAAATATTTCATGGTGCTCATTGATGCATCAACGAGATGGTCACACGTATGTTTGCTATCTACACGTAATATTGCGTTTGCAAGGTTACTTGCACAAATATTTAATTGCGAGCACAATTTCTAGATTATCCAATAAAGAAAATTCGTCTCGGTAATGCTAGTGAATATTCATCACAAGCATTTGACGATTATTGCATGACTTTGGGAATAGCTGTTGAACATCATATTCTTCATGTTCACACTCAAAGTGACATGGCAGAATCCTTTATCAAAAGACTGCAATTAATTTCCAGACCATTATTGATGAAGTTAAACTCTCTGTCTCTGCATAGGGACATGCAATATTACATGCAATAGAACTTGTGCGAACTAGACCGACAAGTTATCAGAAATACTCTCCAACATAATTAGTGTTTGGAAAAGAGCCCAATATTTCTTATTTGAGGATTTTTGGATGCGCGGTTTACATGCCGATTGCACCACCTCAACGTACAAAAATAGACCCCCATCGTCGTTTGGGAATTTATGTCGGGTACGAATCACCGTCGATAATTAATACCTCAAACCAATGACGGGTGATCTGTTTACTACGCGATTTGCATATTGTCATTTTGATGAAACAAATTTCCCGATATTAAGGGGAGAACAAAATCAACTGAAAAATAAAATTTCATGGAAAATACCTATGAATTTTCTGGATCCTTATTCACAATAATGTAAATTAGAAGTACAATGAATTGGAAATTGCAAATCAGTTACTTGATGCATTTAATGCTCTAGCAGAGTCATCAGGTCATATATTTCTGCAGCAAATGATCCGGCAAAATTAAATATCCCAGAAGGATAAATTAAAAGTGCCAATGAATCTTCTATGTGCCTGAAGTGTGGTAGACCTGTAGGTTCTAAGGATAAGAATCCCCAAAAGAAAAGAGTTATGATTAATGATTCAATCTCTCAAACAATTTGTAGTGACAAGGAACAAATTCTTGAAGATGATGCTCCTGAAGAGCATACCTCAGAAGAAACTAAAGTTATCGAGAATTCAATTAACTTCATCGCTACAAATAAAAGTTGGAACCGCAATGAAATAGTCATCGATAATGCATTTGTATATAATGTGACACTTGATATAATGGAAAATGACGATGATCCCGAACCAACATCAGTTGATAAATATCGGAAAGGAAACGATTGGCTAAAATAGAAAGATGCGATCTAGTATGAACTAGACTCACTGGCCAAAATAAATTTCTTTGGACCTATAATTCAAACACCACAAGGTGTTAAGCCAGTTGGGTGAAAATGAGTATTTGTGATAAAAAGAAATGAAGACAATGAAATTTTTAGATACAAAGCGAGACTTGTAGTCCAAGGATTCTCACAAAGACCTAGGATTGATTATGATGAGTCATATTCCCTAGTTATGGATGGTATCACATTTAGATACCTTGTAAGCCTAGCAGTGCATGAAAAAATTGACATGCGCCTAAAGGGCGTAGTCATTGCTTTCTTATATGACTCACTGAAGAATAATATTTACATGAAAATCCCTGAAGGATATGACATGCCTGAAGCATGCAAATCGAATCCCAGAGAATGCTATTCTATCAAAGTACAAAAGTCTTTGTATGGACTTAAGCAGTCTGGACGCATGTGGTATAACCGTCTCATTGAGTGTTTAACTAAAGAAAGTTACACTAACGACCCAATATGCCCATGTGTTTTTATAACGAAAAATGGGTCAAAATTCGTGATCATTGCAGTATATGTCAACGATCTCAATATTATCGGAACTCCTGAAGAGCTCCAATCAGCCGTAGAATATCTGAAAAGGAAATTTGAGATCAAAGATTTTGGAAAGACAAAGTTTTTCCTTGGTCTGCAAATTGAATATATGGATAATGGAATATTCATCCACCAAACCGTCTATACCCAGAAGGTATTGAAACGATTTTATTGGATAAAGCACATTCATTGAGTACCCCAATGATCGTTAGGTCACTTGATCCTAACAAGGATCCATTTAGACCAAAAGAAGATGATGAAGAGATACTTGGTCCTAAAGTACTATATCTCAGTGCAATAGGTGCACTCATGCATCTAGCAAATAACACTAGGCTAGATATTGCATTTGCAGTAAACTTATTGGCCAGATTCAGTTCATCTTCTACAAAATGACATTTGAATGGGGTTAAACATATTTTGCGCTATCTTCAAGGGACAAGTGATCTTGGCCTATTTTACCCAAATGATTCTCGACATGAGTTATTAGGCTATGCCGATGCTGGGTATTTGTCTGACCCGCACAAAGCAAAATTGCAAACCGGCTATATATTTATATGTGGCGATACTTTGATTTCCTGGAGATCCACAAAACAGACAATAACTGCCACGTCATCAAATCATGCAGAAGTATTGGCTATTCATGAAGCGAGTCGAGAATGTGTTTGGCTGAGGTCGATGACCCATCATATTAAAAAGAATTGTGGGTTAATATCGGAAAACGAAAATCCCCCAACAATTATATATGAAGACAATGTAGCTTGCATTGCTCAGTTAAAGGGTGGATATATTAAAGGAGATAGAACAAAACACATTTTCCTAAAATTTTTCTTTATTCACGACTTGCAAAAGAATGGTGAAATCGATGTGCAACAAATCCAATCATTTGAAAATTTTGCAGATTTATTAACCAAGGTCCTACCGACAGCAACATTCAACAAATTGGTGAAAGGAATTGGAATGCGTCGGCTTATAGATCTCAAGTCCAGTCCAAATTAGGGGAGCAAATAAATACAAGAATGATGTACTCTTTTTCTTTCACAATGATTTTTTTCCACAGGGTTTTTTCATAGTAAGGTTTTAACGAGACACATTCTTTATTTAAAGCATCCAATGAGGAGTATTGTCATACACAATACCTACGAATGAACTACGTGTATGCTTGTCGATGTCAATCATATAGTTGCTACGTAGGTGATATGTATAATTGTTGTGGTGCAATATTGACCACACCCCATCATTACCCCCTCCTATAAATAGCTATGTAAGTCAAGAATACACATTAAAATAAAAAATTCATAAATTCTCTCTGCCTCCTTTAACGTCATCTCTATATACTTGCATTAATTGCTCTAATATACATATACACATATTATATACACAGTAATATATCTATATCTACCCATACATATACATATATATATATATAAGTTAATGCACTATCTACATAAATATATTATATAACACTCAATATACACATATAATATATATACAAATAGTGAGTAAGAGCAGAGATAATTAATATTCCTATTTGTTAGTTCTATATTAATATTTACAATAGATAAAACTTATTTGAGACGGATTAATTTTTTTTTGAATGGAAAGAGTACTTAAGTGTTTGTTCGAAGGATTTGGAAGAATTTATATTATTCATACAAATTTTCTCTTCCAAAAATATCAAATTAAACACTTAATTTCATCTTTTATATTATACTAAAAATTAATTTTATATTCAAAATATTACAGCAATACTTATTTATATCTCATTATGCCACTATTGTTGATAAATGGCGATAAAATTTTCAAAAAACACTATATACTAATATTGTTATCCTTTTGAATGAATACTATTTTGAAAATTAATATTTATTTTATATTTCTTACATAATAACAAAAATTAATGTAATATCTTATTGAAATAAAAACAAAATAAAAATAAAATGATTTCTCTTTATTCTACATAATTTGTCAATTCTTTCTATTTTTATCAATTCTACATAATTTGTCATTTTTTTAAAGATATGAGTATAATCATATTTTAAATTTTATAATTTTTTTATTTTAAGAAAACTATTTAATGTTATATAAATAATAATATAATATGGATATATAAATATATGTAAGTTGGTAAGTATATTATATATATATATATATATGTATGTATGTATGTATATGTGGATGTGGTATGTATATGAATATTATATATATAGATATATAATGAAGATATATATGTATAGTGATAAATGAATGTGGATAGAGAGATGGAGGGCGCACAGGGAGAGAACGAGGGAATTTGGTGTATTTATTCATTCCAAATAGCACTACATATTTATAGGAGGACTTGACCAATAAAAAAACATTCACACCTTAACTACACATGCATACAAACACTACCTATACAATATATATACACGTAGTGGCTGCGTGTCTTTAACATTTAATAATCTTAATCTTAATTTTTATTATTTTTATTAAATATAATTATTTTTACTAATATATTTCTTAATTACTTACAAATTACATAATATCTAAAGCTCTGTATCCAATTAAAGTGGATAAATTAGCTGAGACGGAAGAAGTATATAATAAAAAAAAAAGCATGTTATTCTAACAAACAAAAAAGAATTGACACTTAGGAAAAAAATTCTTGAAATACATAACATATACTTCACCCTTAACAGATACAAATGTCATATATATATATATATATATATTTAAATGTTGGTTAAAATTCATAATTCATTTTTAATAAATAATTTTATATACTCATACTTTTAGTATTTTATTTTAATAAATAATAATTAATTTGTCACTATTTTTTTTATTTTAATCTACTATTTTTTTATATTTTAAACTACTATTTTTTTTATTAAGTACAATTAAGTAAAAATAAATATAAATCTATTAAATGGACGAACAAAGTAATTTTTTTCATAACATTCATATTTTATTTTTTTATTTATCTTACTTTTACGTTAAAATAAGTAAAATCCTCACTTAATAAAGTATTCATTTTTATATTTTTGTCTGTCCCAAAATAATGTATTCCCTCCGTCGTATAAGAAGAATATTATTTTTCATTTTTGTTCGTCCCAAAACAAATGTACAAATTTATAATTTAGTAATTGTACTACACATCTAATATAATTAATACCCTTACAACTTCAAATATATTATACAAATGTCATTATTTTTATATCACACAATCTAATAAGGACATTTTTATCATTTTCACTATTAACCAATATAATACTAATATTTAAAAATTTACGTACAAAAAATAAATGTTACCAATTTTATGTGACGAAGATAATATAAATTTTAATTTTTAATGATTGTACTACATACTTTAACACTTAAATGTGTTTAGTTTTAATAGTTATAGTGGATAATATTATTTTATTTAATATAACCATATATTTTATTTGCTATGCATTGTTATATCTCGTAATTAAATACAACATGACATAATAGTAGCATAGTTAAATATTATTAATCATTCACTTCTAAGTAACATTAAATAACATTAATTACTATTAATGTAAAAAGATTATTTTACACTTTATTAATAGCTAATATAATATTAATTTTAGAAAAAATAGCATAAAACCTCCCTATCGTTTGATAAATTTGTTGAAAATTCTTTGTGGTTTGAAAATTTCATTAAACCTACTTGTGATATTTAAAACATTGTAAAAAACCACCTTTCCATTAGGACTTAATAGAAAGTGGTCTCACGCGCTTAGACTAAAATTTATATACAAAAATTGATATATAACTATCTTAAATTACAAAAATACCCCTCTAAAGTTTCAAAATATATTAATTAAAGAAGATGACTATTTTAGTCATTTTACCTACATTAAAGAAAAAACATAATTAAATAATAATAATAATAATAATAATAATAATAATTATATAATCTAATTTCCAATTCATTTTCTTCGATGGTACAGATCGAAAAGCGCACCTCTTCTCATTTTCCACCGTCCGCCGACGATGACTGCCACACATCATCCGTCACCAATCTTGTTGTTATTCTCGATCTTCCTGAACGTTGGGTGATCTGCACAAATCAACCAAATAATTAGTGCGGATAAAACTCAAAGGTTAAGAATATAAAATAGAAATATATATATTAAGAATTAAAAAAAAAAAAATTTGCTCAATTGGTGAAGTAGGCTCAGATCGCAGCCACTCTTTCGCCAACTCCAAGTCGTCCTACGAGGTAACCCATAAAGGTGTCGATTGCGGTGGTTCCTAATACGAAGTAACCCAAGAACCCTAGAGTGTTCATCGCACACGCAGTATATCAGGACAGAAAAATAACGAGAGAAGTCGATAGGCATAGGCAGGCAGTAAGTTCGTTGCTCACAAAACAAAATAGAATATCGAACACGTTCCACACATCTCCCAAAATCC